ATCGCTGACTCGAATTTTTAAGAAACATTCATCGCCTCTCCCATAATCGAAAAAGAAAATTTTCATTAAAAAAAAAATTTTTCCTAATACACGTATGTGAATTTTCTCAATAGATGATAATTCTTTTCGCAAATTAACCCCTTAACGCCTAACTTTTTTAAAGTAACAAAAATTTCATCAACTGACCCCAAAAAACCCTTAAATACAATCTACAGTGGTACTTAAAGATTTTTGGAGTCAGTTTTGCAAAATCTTCAAAATTCAAAATGCCGGATCCAATATGGCGAATGATTTTTTAAAAATTATTCGGATTTGCATTAAACTCGTTACTCGGGGTTTTTTTGGTCGCTGATAATAAATCCGATGTCAGTTTTCAAAAATACAAAATGACGGATCCACTATTTTGAATTTAAAAAAATTTAAAAAACTGACACCTATCTTAATCACTAATAACACTAATCGTAATCAGCGATCCAAAAAACCCCCAAGTAGTCATTTTCAAGTGCTTAATTCAAGTTTTTAAAAGTTCGTCCGCCATATTGGATCGGCCATTTTGAATTTTTAAGACTCTTTGCTTTTTAGATACCTTTCCTCTGAGCGCATCACAAATATTATTTAAATATTTCTTTAAAAAATTATTTTCGATAATAATTATAATTATATCAGCAAGATTGGAGGACTGTTTATTTAAATAAAAATTTAAAAAAGAGAGGAATTAGCGAATCCATAATTTATTAAAGAAATAGATTATTATTCTCATTAGACAGTAAAATATTTGAATGCGGAAAAATTCTACATAATGACACTCAATACAGATAACTAGATTCGCGAAGAGAAGAGGTGGGGGGAAGGGGAGAGAAAAAGGAGGAAAGTGAATATACAAACAAGCGTCAAGAAGTGAATGTGTACCATGTAGTTTGCAAACTCATGCTTACGTTATCGTTTATTCGTATAAACTTATTTCCGCTGTATCAAGTCTTATATGTGCGTGTATATTTGACTGTTCGAACAGGCAGGGGACGTGTGAAAATGAATTACGATTTACAATCGTTTATTGAGTCTAGAATCAATATTTTACGAATACAAAAAGTAATTTAGTTCCAAGATCAAGAAAAGGAGAAGATTAAATCGAAATATCTCTCTTTAGAAGAGTTTTATAATTTTAGAAAATCTGCTTTATTTTCTTCAATTAATTTCTTAAAAAACGAACTTTTTCATTTGAAAAAGAAAAAAAATCGTAATGTTTTATTTGATGAAACAAGATAAAAGTTACAAGGGAAAAGAAAGAGTTGAGTATTGATGAAAGAAGAAAATTTTCTCTAATTCAATTGACATTTCTTGATCTAATGAGAAGTTGATTTAATTTTAATAGGTCATGTTCGTTTATAATAGCTTCGGCAATTACCCTCTAACAGTATGGTTACGGTACATTGGCGTGAGCGTCTGTCGCAATTGATTTCAGCCCACTGATACATACCTATATTGTAATCACTATTAGACATTCGACTATACACGTGAACGATCAAACATAAAAGACGCATTATGTTTACCATTTCGCACAATCTCTGTTCCTAAATCTATAATAACGTCAATGGAATCAAAACCGATAGATGACTTTGCATTTTGTCTATGATTTTTTCGTGAAACAGTGATCAATCAACATTTGCTCCGATGGAAAAGAATTTCTATCAGCGAAAGTTGAGAGATATATGTGGACCAACTTATTGTGAGAGAAGGAATATTTCTGCTAAATTTACCGCTTGTGAAAGAAAAAATCTTTCTGTTAAATTCACCACTTGTGAGAGAAGAAATATTCCTACTAAATTCACCGCTTGTGAGAGAACCCTATTCTGATTTTGATTTAACCCCTGGTGGTCGAATCTGAAACTATAATAAAAAAAGACGGGAAAGATTCACCGCTTGTGAGAGAACCCTGTCCTGATTTTGATTTGACCTCCTAGTGGTCCAAACTAAAGCTATAATAAAAAAGGCGCGAAAATTTAAAAGTTGTTACCCCAGGGAATCGATAAGAATACGGCGTAAATATGCCTTTTTTTTTAAATAAATATTTATTAGAAGAAAAAATAGGGGAAGTTTCCAATAGGCGTTTAACCCCGTTCCAAGAAAAGGAGCGAAAAGCTCTATGCACGCAAGACACTTTTAAGGCTTCGAAAATACTCTTTAACACTAGACGATTGATTTCTTTTTGTTGCGCGGTGAAGAAAGAGAACATTTTTTTAGCTACTTTTCTTCACTATTAAAATTCATAATTTAAAAAAACTGTTTTAACTATTTTTTATGTTTCTCTAAAGGAAGAACCTTAGAGAACCATTAAAGAACCATTCGGAAGGTTCCCTGTAAGTTTAGTGACAAAAAGAAATTTTTTTTCGTAGAAAGTTAAATTAGTGGGTACAATAGACCCTGTGTGGGTAATATTACCCCGATTGACGATAGTTATTAGAAAAGAAAGAAGTACTCACCTTAGGATATACAAAACCATCTGTGTAGTATAATTTATCATGAACGATGAATAGCTAATAATTTCTGATGTCACCATCTAAAATCCACTTCATCAAGAAACGCATGTTAGTACATTACAACATCTGTAGATCTCTGAATCTTAAGTGTGCGGGTATAATACATATATACATTGGTTCTACGATCGTTGAGAATCTATCTCAGCATCCGATCAATGTGAAGAAAAGGGAAAGTCACCAAAGAGTCTTCAACAAATCAGAACACCAGATGGTTTTCCACAAGATTATTTTAAAAAGAAAAAACTTTTCTCATTATTCTCGAGAGTGTTCCACATTCTTCAATGGAACACAGACAACAACAAAAAATAAAACCGCAAATCAGATAACTATGAAAATTTAAAAACAAATTCTTAAATTAATTCTATTATTTCTCTTTCCCCATCTGTGCGTCATGAGAGCGTATTGTTCATCACAAGAGAGAAAGATTCATCTCCCTGCGCTCTCACCCTTCACTTTAATCGGTCATCGATCTCGATCTACAACACTCATAAATCTGTATTTTTTACGATCTTTCAAGAGAGCGGCTCCACTATCTTTTGACCTTATGATTCCACCTCCTATGTTTCGTTAAATGTTAAACACCTCGCTAATGCACCTTTAGTGATTCAGATAAGACCCTTTTTCTGAAGCAAGGTCTTAAGCAAGGAACGATAATAAATTCTGATACATACAGAAAGTAGGTGTAGGTATCTTAGGTTAGAAAAAACGGATTGTTTTCTTTTAGCATTCTTTCAGGAAAATTCAAATTAGAAAAATGAAAGAAAGAAATTGATTTTTAAATTTTAATCCAGTATTAAGTGGTGTGATTATGAAAGAGTGTCATCAAGTAGGCGCGCACGTGTGTTGCTCATTCACCTTTTAACCCCCTAGGCAATTTACACTCTCGAGCATCTCATATGTGTCCCACGTGTGCTTTAACGACGTCAAGTTATTACCTGTTCGGTCGTTTATTAAATTGAATTGTAACCTTTGGAAATCAATGTTCCTGACAATGAAGCTATTTAGCTTTTGTTGTATATAATCTTTTCTAATTATCACGAAAGTTTAAACTGATAGTCTAAAGTGTAGATTCGACAATATCAATGATTAGTATAAGTTCCAAGAATGATAATACTGATGGTTGGTCCTCTCATGTTTTTTGAAAGAATAAAAAATTTCTCAAGAAATCAGAGATCCTGAACTATTCTGCTTCGAATTGTTAAAGATCTTTGCGGAGTATCCGCGAAGAATTCCAACGTCCTTAGCTTTGCATGATAGTTTATTTATATTTGGAGAATATTTTCATGATCTGTTATGGATAGCAAGTCTCTCGCGACACGACGGGGAGCTTTTGCATTCTCAGTCGTTGGATATACCTCTGCACGCTCTGCAAGTTGACCTCGAGGTGCATGACTGCATTGTGCATGTTGCAAAATTTGCGTAATCACGTATCATTGTTCCATCCCTCCTTCTCTTTTCTCTCTAACCTTTCCTTGCATCCCTCTTTTTCTTCGTTCCCGAGATATTTTCCCCCAACAACAACAATCACGTGTGTACCGCAACTATAACACCCATGCAAAAAAAAAAAAACGTGAGTCTAGTTTAGTCATTTGCCATCATATCATGGCGTGGGATTCCCTCGGGATTTGAATTACCTGCGTATGGAAAAGAAGAGAAAGATCAACGCCACTTACGTGTCGGAAGTCGATTTTAAAAATCTTATTTCTGCCTCTGTGAATTATTTCCCTAGGAATGAATCTTTTTGAATTCTGCATTGGTACTGCAGAGCGTATAAAAATCTACAAACTTAACTTACCTCTAAGAATAAAAAAAGAGTAGGCATAAATAAGATGTTTTATTTTTTACCATTCGTATACCTATTATTTCAATCGTGAACAAATGGTACGAATTGACATATAAAGAAGTAATATTTTTATGCAAAATTCATTACGACATATCCTACCACCCGCACCGGCCAATTAAGAAATATCTCTAAACAATGTTTCAATGGATCTTTCTTGACAATATAGCGGATTCTCCTCGTGAGAGAAACTCAAGTAGCACACTATGACCACAGATGCGTTGGGGATTTTTCAATCAGGCCAATACTTAATTCAAATGATTTAGTGTTAGGTAACTATGGAGAAGTGTTAAGATCTCGAGAGTAATAGCTGAGTGCATATAAAGTATCCTTTCTCTTATAGTTGTTAGCTTTCAGTGCACTCTTCTATACAGTTCTATTTAGTAGATTCCTCCACTAATTTATGAGTCTCCAGCAACTTATATCGAGTCCCAATAGGGTCCGTTAGCTATGGACCTAAAATTACAGGAACTTAGTCAGGGCAAAAGTATAGTTAAGTACTTTTATTCTATAGGCTAGTCTAGGGTAGAATATTTGGGTGGAACATCTAGGGTCCTTTAAGAAAAACCCCAAGTGTACATAGAGGAAGTATTAATGAGACATTTCTATCTTTTTGTTCACAGGTTGCAAGAGCTTTTTCAAAAGGAGCGTCAGAAGGAATCTCACCTATTCGTGTCGAGGGAATCGAAATTGCCCCATCGATCAACATCATAGGAATCAATGCCAATTTTGTCGTTTGAAAAAGTGCCTAAAAATGGGCATGCGCAGGGAAGGTATGTTTCGGCATAAAATTGGTAATTTCAATTGCAATTTTTATTATTCTGAAACTGAAATTTACATTGCAAGTTTTTATATATAGAACATTTTTTCAATAACAAAGTACATAAGAACAAAAATCGTACTGCAATGAAAGTTTTTGTATCAGAAATATTTATTTCTAAAATTTCAGCTTATGAAAAATGTATTTACAACTTTACAAATTTTTCCATTTGTAAATTATCCCCATTATATTTATATTTACCCATTTTCATGGGCAAATAAATTTTTGTTGAATTTGACAAAAGAAAAAATGGAAAAACGTAATTGTAATCGGGTGCGGAAAGACCGTGCGGTTTCTCACGCCTCCATTTGGAGGCGCTATTCGCTCTCGGCGCTATTCCGGACTTGGTTCTTCACGCTACGATAAGATCTGACCTTGTTTAAGGTGCATGCGCGAGGTGGCTACCACCATGGACAGCTTTGCAGTTAAGAATCGTGACCCTTATCGTATCATCCGTTCCTCGTGGACGCCGACGCGACGGTTCAAGATCGAGTGTATATATATTGTACCGACCTTTATAGCTCTTTGACTTTTCTGCTGGGAAAACCGTCAAAAGTCGACCTTGAATATTGATCTTCTGTTTTAGACAAAAATGCCCATTTTTATTCGATGCTAGGTCGTCTAAATAGAAATGTGGATTCCTTTTTTGAAGATCACGAGAACTTTGAATTAGAAACTGGAAGTTCAGTGTAAAAATTGTGATCTTAATTTAGCGGATCCAACATTTAATTATTGTGTAAATTACAAATCTTTTTATTTTTACATTTTTAGGAACCCAGACTGTTCCTAAACCCTTAAGGAGTTTAGGGAGTAAAGGGAGTTTGTATATATTCAAGAGAGAGAATTGAAATTACAGCACTGGATCTCTTAGGAAATAGAACGTAATTGAATGGTTTGACGGGAGACATGTATGCAGACACGAGTGAAAGACACATTCGAGCCGTACGATTTGTTATCTGCATAATTCATATATGCGACTTGATGCTGATTGGATATCGTTGCCTTATACTATATCTCACTGATTTTCTGCTCTCGATGTTTATAATTAATTTTCTTTTCAAACTTCAGAGACTAAATATTTTCAAGAGAGGGTCGCGACATATTAAAGAGTAAAAAAAGAATCCTTGAACCGAAACGCGCAAGGAAGAGAGTTAGATGAGCCTGTGACGTTAAAGAAATGTCCGTTGCTGTTTCCCACAAGAAGATGGTCGCACGTCATTCCTCCCTGTCACTGCGACATCCGCCCATTACATGAAAAGAGTCACGAGGCCTCGCTTTTGATAATAATTCGAAACATTCGCGTAGGATCACACACTCATAAAGCTAAATAAAAAGAATACCAAAAGTACCAAAGAGTTGAGATCTATGATGACGAAGGGGAGTCAAGGTGATGAGGACAAGTGGTGGGGAGAGGAGTGAGATGCTTGAGAGTAAAAGAGACAGAGAAAGACGGAAAGAGTGAAACGGAGAAAAAGAGAGGAGAAGAAGGAAGGGAAAGGTGGTCCGAGGTCAGCGGGGTGCATGACCTTAGCTTGGAGGCCCCTTCCTTCCGTAGGCACCAGGAGAGAGAAGAACCTAGCAGAGGCCCAGAGGCCCCCCGAGGCAGACAGGATGCGCTAAAGATTAGCCTGCTGATACTGTCCGCGATGATTACAGAAATCTAGGAAGCCGCTCAATTTAATTAACCCTTAATTGCGAGTCCAAGACGCGTTTAGTGGCGTCCCCTGCATGGCCCCCACTCTCTTCATCTTTAGAAAACCCAGGCACTTCTCGCGTCCGCACGAGTCGAGAGAACGTTCCAGACGTAAATTCTTCTCGTAACGATACCCACGGGTATCGATCAAACTGATAGCGCTAAAGATTCAAGTCAAGAGATGGTCTTTCGTAATGGATCCCCCGCTAAATTCGATGGAGTCAGGTTCCCGTGAAATTTAGTCCGTAACAATGGTTTTTTCAATTTTAAAATATCTCAGCGAAAACCGTTGCCTGAGGTATGCTGTTGTATTATTAGAGACATTATTCAGACTTTTTTTACCCGAAATGACGTAATGCCAAAAGAAGGAACCAAAACCCCAACTGTAGGGCAATACGCACCTTTGCGGTCGGTAACTATCGGTAACAGTTTCCTGTAATCAAGTTTTTTCCTCCTAAAAAAATAATAGGATCAACTTCTAAACGATTTTCAAAAAAATTTTCTCTTCCTATGATCTCTTTTCTCATAGAGCCTCGCTTATTTTCTCCTTTTATGTTCAGTATATAAAAGAGACAAACCGGTATATCAAAGGGAAAAGTAGAGAAATAATTAATCTATAAATTTCAAGATCTACAGGATGCGAGTTTAGAAAATTTGAATATTTATTTAATTATTTATCCTATCATTATCAGAGAGACATGAAAGAAAACCAAAATGGAAATTAGGATTTATTGCCTTAGTTAATTCAATCAGTATATACATTCAATTCAATTAGTTAGTCCACTGATTAGAGATAATTCGTATTATTAATTAGGTCAATCTTGTTTTCATGGCAAACGATATAATAAACATTATACTTGTATATATATTTATACACACAAGTCAGGAATATATGTGTGAACAAAATTCGCACGTCATTTTCTATTTCTAGTTTCACTATCTCCTTGTTTTCTTTTAATATTTATTGAATTGGAACGAAATACTCCAATTTAGTTCCTTAATTATTCTTTGACTATAATTTTGACAAAGTAGTGAATTAATTTCTTTAACCCTTCAACGTTTAACGGTTTCATTCGAAACTTCAATGTATTCGTGCTGGCCATTGTTAACGCATCCAATAATGTCAGTTTTTCAAAATTCAAAATGGCGGATTCAATATGGCGGACGACTTTTTTTGAAAATTGATGCATATGCCAAAAAGTTGATTAAATTTTTCCCAAAATTTATTACTCAGGGGTTTTTGAGGTCTCTGATTACAAATCCGATGTCTGTTTTTCAAAATTCAAAATGGCGGATCCAATATGGCACCAAAAACTTTTATATGCAATTAATGACAAAAATTGAGGGCGTGGAACGGATAACTGCCTGCAACGCATGGTCGAAAAGGACTATACCAGTCAGACATCAGTGAGAGGCCTAGAGGCGCTTACTATTGTCTGACTGGTATAGTCCCTTTCAACCATGCGTAGCAGGCAGTTATCCGTTCCTCGCCCTCAATTGTACTTAGTACAAAAAATTCGTTCAAAAAACTGAATTTTTTTTCTTTTTTTTCCATATTAATCTGTAAATTAATTTCTTCTAATTAAGAGAATTAAATTTCTTTTACATGTTATAAATTAGTTATTCTTAATGGTAAAATTATTCCCGGCTTTTTTTGCGCTGTATTTAATTAAAATTGTTAATAGTACAATTTAGATGAGTCTTTAAATTATGCAATTTAGATAAGTCTCATAATTGTAAGCAATTAAGATTGGTTTTGTAAAATTATGCAATTATTTGTTCTCCGATGTCTTTCTTCTAATACAATTCTGTAAAGACATTGCATTTAAAAAATTAGAAAATGATAGAAAGTCTAATTCATTGAATAGAAATGAGTGTTGTTGGCAGGGGGGAGAAAAAAAAATGATGAAAACATGAACGTCCGCTCGTTCCGTGAAAAAGAACATTTCCTTGAGTATAATGAACACGCGATCTTGACAGGACATTCCACAGTAATAATTTTATTTTTATTTTATTATTTTTTTATTTTATATTTTATGTTCTATATTCTATATTCTATATTCTATATTCTATATTCTATATTCTATATATTATATTCTATAATTCATATGCTATGCTTTTTTATATTTTGTATTCTATTTTTTATTTTATACTCATTGAAAAAATTGATGAATTTAATTATGTAGTGAAATTTTAGCATAGTAATCAATTCATGAAGAATTTATTTTTATTTATGTACTTATGATTTGATATTTTTGTTATTAAATAATCACGATAGAAATTAAATAGTTTTAAAATGATGAAGTCGATGAGTCAATTTTGTCGAGTCAGTGCTTTTAATAAAGATTCTTTTTTTATTTTTTTGGTTAGGATGTGAAGTTCTCTTTTTACACTTTATATACTTGCACACTCAAACGGGGTGTTAAATACTTTCATTAAAATTATTACTTCATACTGTGACGAACAATGCAAATTGGCTAATCAGAATCGCATCATTTAAGATCGAATTTCAGATTGTGATATACTGCATCACATTGACCATTAATATTCCATTACTTTCGAGATTGGATTTTATAATTAATCAATCTGCTCTTCTTTCATTAATTGTCATTTCTATCGTCGAGTGTATTGTTTTACCGATATCAATTACCACTATTCGATAGACGATCTAATTTTTTAATTCGAAATTTAATTGCTGAAAATTGTTCCCAGCAATTCTGTTCCATCAAAGTTGTTTAGCTTCGTGGTTAGTGGGCTGGACTTCTAGTGCGAGGGTCCAGGGTTTGATTCCTCTCGTTTGTGATTTTTTCTCTATTTAAATTTGGGAAAAAGTTAATTTAATTTTAGGTTATTTAGGTGGTATCATAGCTTGGTGGTTAGTCCACTGGACTTCTAGGACGTGGCACCAGGGTTCGATTCCTCTAGTTTGTGATTTTTTTTCTCTGTATAAATTTGGGGTAAAATTAATTTCATATTATAGTTTAGGTAGTAACATAGTTTGGTTAGGTAAGTGGACTACTAGATAGGTCGAGGGTTCGATTCCGGCCATAAGCAATTTTTTTCCGATATACAAATTAAAAACATAAATTTAATACCATAGGTTAGAATTCGAATTGACTTAGACATTGTTTTACCTCAGCAACAATAGAAGGAAAAGAGGGTTCGGGTTGAGGAGGATAAAAAGTCAGATAGGTTTGTACCCTACACGTATAAGAACCAAAGCGGGCAAACCACTCAGTCGAGAGATTGTCGATATTACCGTCAGGGTCAGGATCGTGACT